AATAAATAAATAAATCTTAAAAATAAAATAAAATAGTTTTGTGATTGGACACTACTACTCTATTTCTCACCTATTCCAGCCACTTTTTCATAATTGTAAGATAAATCTTTCATCTAAGGATTGGTTATGAATTTTAAGCTTATTCCTAAGGGGGGATAAGATAAAAATTGATATACTTACAAATGAAAAAAATACTTGGAACTAATATTTTTGTCTAGAAAAATTAGACAAAGAAAATATATGTGAAAATGTCCAGAAGTCACCAGCGCCAAAATGTCAGGGAGGTTTTAACAACAACAACAACAAAGTCATAGAATTTGTGACTACTTTTCAATTAGAGATACTGTTGAATCCAAAAGGGAGGCTGATGAGACTCATGAGCTCAGGTAACCAAAATCGAAAGTTAGAAATTTCCAATGACTTTGACCAAAATTGAGACTCTGAACAACACCTTAGGACTAGGCTGAACCTTCAATATTTACCCCTTCCTATGAACTGAAATTAAGTTCCCAATCATTTCAATGCTCGATTAGATTAGCATGGTACACAAACTGGAGTCGCCACTCTGGAAAACAGTATGGAGTGTTCTCAAAAAATTAAAAATAGAGCTACCCTATGATCCAGCAATTGCACTACTAGGTATTTACCCAAAGGATATAAAAATACAGATTTGAAGGGATACATGCACCCGAATGTTTATAGCAGCATTATCAACGACAGCCAAATTATGAAAAGAGCCCAAATGTCCATCAACTGATGAATGGATAAAGAAGTTGTGGCATGCTAAGCAAAAGAAGTCAGTCAGAGAAAGACAAATACCACAGGATTTCACTCATATGTGGAATTTAAGAAACAAACCAGATGAACATGGTGGGGGGAGAGAGAGAGGCAAGTCATAAAACAGACTCTTAACTATAGAGAACCCAAACTGAGGGTTGCTGGAGGGGAGGTGGTCAGGGGGATGGGTTAAATAGATGACGGGGATTAAGGAGTGCACTTGCTGTGATGGGCACTTCAGGTTGTATGGAAGTGTTGAATCACTGTAATGTACGCCAGAAACTAATATCACACTATATGTTAAATAATTGGAATTTAAATAAAAACTTCAAACTACAAAAAAATTTAGCATGGTATAGAGGTGACCTTAAATTATTTCTTTACATAGATAAATCTAAATATAAATTATAAATGCAGATATAGACTTAGAGGTATAGATATAATTGTGGATATAGTTTTATACAGATATAGATTAGTATATAGGTGATATACATAGAAAATGATGTAGACATAGATCGTCTGATATCCTAGGGAAATTTACTAGACTTCAAGAAGTTAAGAAGTGACTAAATCCAAAATATATATCAGATAGTAGAATTCATTTTAGGAAATAAAAAGATAGATTTAAAATTTTAAGAGAGAGAGAAACATATTAAAAGAACCAAGTAGAGGGGTGCTTGGGTGGCTCAGTCAGTTAAGTGTCCAACTCTTGATTTGGGCTCAGGTCATGATCTCAGGGTCATGAGATCAAGACCTACATCAGGCTCCATGCTGGGCGTGGAGCCTGCTTAAGATTCTCCCTCTCCCTCTGCCCTTTCCCCCCACCCCCACTCATGCTCTCTCTCTCTATAAAAAAATAAAAATTAAAAGAACCAAGTAGAAATTCTAAAATTGAAAAATGCAATAAGTTAAATGTAGAATTGTTGAATGGATTGAAAAGAAATTAGACATAGCTGGAGAGACAATTAGAGATTGTTCTGGAGAACATATTTAAACTAACAAAGAGAATACCTTGGAGTCAAACTGATGAACAAAAAAGAAGAGAAAAATTTAAAGCAACCAAAGGGAAAGAAAATGCAAGTTACCTTATAAGAAGCAACAGTAAGATAGACAGCTGAATTCTAAACAGAAAAAAGGAAAGTAGAAAGACAATTAAATATCCTCAAATTTCTGAAGAAAGAAAACTTTAGAGTCCTTGACTAATGAGTATTTGTTTCAAAAATGAAGGAGAGGGGCGCCTGGGTGGCTCAGCTGAGCATCTGACTCTTGATTTTGGCTTAGGTCATGATCTCAAGCTCGTGGGATCAAGCCCAGAGTTGGGCTCTGTGTTGGGCGTGGAGACTGCTTGAGATTCTCTCTCTCTCTCCCTCTGCCCCCGCCCACTCTCTCTCTCTCAAAAAAAAAAAAAAAATGAAGGAGAAATATAGACATTTTCAAACAATCAAACCTGTAAAAAATGTGTTACTAGGCTTCCAACATAAAATATATAATAAAAGTTATATATAGTCAGAAACAAAATACTCTCAGAACATACAAAAAAAGATGTAAGAAGAAATGAAGAGTAAACAAAAGAAATATATACATAGATTATATATATTTATATACATATGATAAATTTAAGCAAATTTTGGTCATAAAAACATGGAAGCAAATATATATCAATATACACAAGCATACATGAAATTACAATACAGAAAATCCTAACATAGTACATGAATTGGGGTAAGAATAATTGACCTTAAGATTTATGACATTCTTGCACTGGACCGGAAATAGTAAAAGTATTCATTTCGATTAGCAAGTCAACAAAGCATGCTGTGAACTCTAAGGCAGCACTGCCCAGTAGAACTTTCTGTGTTGTTGAAAATCTTTTTATCTGCATTTTCCAATATATGGTATCCATCAGCCACATGTATCTATTGTGCACATGGAATGTGGCTAACATGACTGGGGAATAAAATTTTAATTTAACTTAATTTTAAATGATATAAATTGAACTTAATATATGTGGCTAGTGGCTACTCTGCTGGATGGTATGGCATTGGGGTAACCTCTAAATGAATCACAAAATCCTGGATCTCATCTTGGAAGGCTGACAGAATGATTGTTAGGAAATACCTTGTATCACATCTAATAACATGATGCTTTACATGTTATCATACAGCAAACTTTGAAGTTAGTAAAACAGAAGTAGCATTTTTGTTTGTTTCTTTTGTCTGATGTATCTTTTTACTTTCTCCCTTCTCTGTTTCCTTATATTTAAGAAAATCTATTTTAAGTAGGAAATAGCTTGGGTTTCTAGTCCAGTCTGATATTCTAAGTCTTCAATAAGGATTATTCAGTCTATTACATTTAATTTAATTATTGATACTTTCAGATTTCTACTTACACATTTACTATTTGTAATAGTAAATTTTCACACTTCTGGGAGGGGTAATAAAATGATTAAAGCTATAATTTTACCCTTTTAGATTATTATTATTTTATAATTTTTAAATTTTTTAGTAAGTTTTCAAAAGATTTTAATGATCACTTTAATTACTATTTACTTCTACCTATTTATTAAGAACCACAAACCACTTTATTAGTGTTATGCACAACGAGTAGACCATTCACTTATAGCTCCATCTTTTTTATCACCTCCTTCAATTACAACTCCCCCTTTGAGGTAATTGCCTTCCTAACTGGAGAAAACACTTCAGTATTCATTTTAGCCTAGGTTTGCTTGACATGGAGAGCTCTATAAAAGGCAATATTTGGATATTTTACAATCGAAAAATAATCTTGAAGAACTGAAGTAGGGAAAAAATGTTTTTATAATGAAGGAAACAATTATAGGAAAGAATCTAAAGATAAAAATGACCAGAAGGTCCTGCGTGATAAGAATTGTTCTGGGAGAGCAGGATCACTGGACACACTGTAAGGACAGGTGATAAAAGGGACAATGTATATATGAAAAGCTATAAAGTATATTGATCCAGAACCCATTTTTATTGGAATTACACACAGATGGAAAGATCCATCGTGTCTCTAGTTATCTTCCCTCACTCCAAGAGTATTTGACTCTTTGGAATTTTTTGCATGTGTATGAATTGGTATCCACTGAGACTCTTTTTCAAATTAGTCTTGCTTAGTCATTTTGCCTTTAAACATCTGTCCTGATTTATCTCTGTGATCCACCAATTTCTCAATCAATTTATATTATCTATTTTCCCCTTTCCATTGGATTCGAGGGGCAATATGTAATAATGTAATATATGAAAACTAGCTTTAGGGGATGAAATAAATTTACAGAAAGAAAATCATTGGTGACAAAATAGGGTGCCTCTATTCCACTGAGGGAGAAAAAAAAAGTGACTTAACCTTAATCCCCACCTTTAGATCTAAGCATTCCCCAGCCAATGTACAAGCAAAGGCACAATGAGTCTCAGCCAAGGAGAAGGGTAGGGGCTTTTCTGGCCCTGATTAGCTGGCATTAATGACATACAGTCATAGCATTTCTGACTTTGGAATAGTTCGTTGGCTTGGTGCTATAACAACATGATGAATTCTCCTATAAATATGAGATGGAAGGAATCACCAGCAATTACAGAAAATATCATTGAATTACACATATGGAAATGAGAGATTCCAAGTGTGGGAAAGACGACTGTAAAAAATGCCACACCCATGGCTGAGAGGATAAAAGTGCCCCAGTGCAGGACGTGACATTCAACCTCAGAATCTTCTCGCTGTCACTCAGCTGAACTCACATCTCCTGCCAACATGTCCTACAGCTGCTACTCTGGAAACAACTCCTCCCGCTCCTTCGGGGGCTACCTGCGCTCCCCAAGCTCCTCCTGTGGCTCGTCCTGCCCCAGCAACCTGGTCTACCGCACTGATCTATGCTCTCCCAGCACCTGTCAGCTGGGCTCCTCCCTCCCCAGTGGCTGTCAGGACACCTTCTGTGAGCCCACCAGCTGCCAGACATCCCGTGTGGTGTCCAGCCCCTGCCAAATGTCCTACCACCGCCCGAGGACCTCCACGCTCTCCAGTCCTTGCCAGATGACTTGCTCTGGGTCTGTGGGCATTGGGTCCAGCAGCTGCCATTCCCTGGGCTATGGATCCAGAAGCTGCCAATCACTAGGTTGTGGATCCCAGAGCTTCAGATCGCTGGGTTATGGAGTCTATGGCTTCCCTTCTCTGAGCTATGGATCCAGATTCTCCCGCCCAACCTACTCCACTTCCAGAAGCTGCCAGTCATCCTGTTATAGACCATCCTGTGGATCTGGCTTCTATACATCAACTTGTTGAGGATCCTGACCTTTAGAGCAATGTGTCTAACCTCTAAACAGAGAGTTTATCATCTTCATGATGTTCAGGAAAAACTCTCCAATTACCTTTTTTTTCCAGCCACAACATGCCGGCCAAAAAAAGGCCAAAATCTCTAACATATACTGAACTTAATGACTAATTTTATTGGATGAATTTATAGAATTAGTGGAATTAATGAAATAAATTATGAGATCAATTAATGGAATTTATGTTAATAAACATGAACTAATGTTAATGAATTAATGGGATTCGTGTTCATACATTTTATTCACAAGAGAGATGAAAACCTAAATGAATATAGTGTAATAAACTCATTCATTCTGGCTTCCAAATATTCTGCTAATTTTGTTAGTTTTAATTGGGTAATTTTTTTTTCTTTTGTTTTTTTGGGGGGTTTTCAAGTTAATATTTATTATGTCTCTGGGAACAAACTTTGGAAATCTAATAAATTTGTGAATTTGAACTAATTTATTTTGGGCTTTAGACATTTCTTTCTTTAAAACTTTTTTCTGAATCCTTTTTTTATACATAAACTTTATATGTATAATAATCTCAGGAGCAATATAGAGCATATTTCCTCCAAAGGATGTGGGACCTTGACTTTTGCTGACAAAAGGAAAAAACACATCTGATACATCTAAATTCCTGGACAGTGGCAATTGACCTGATCAGCTAGTTAGGGACCTGGAAAGGAGAATATTAGAATATTGATACAAAGAAATCTGGTGTGGAAATGTATGGATAGACACATGCAGTGGGCACAAAATGTGAAGATCTGTATTTCCTCTTAGTGCTCACCAGAACACATCCACCATGGAAGAGGAATGAAACAATCAAGTAAACAAAATGACTCTGCCAGTTGATGTGAGCTTACCTTTGTCAGCAATCCCTACAAGATGATAAAATGACAAGAGGAACAAGGGACCACAGAGGCTATGAATGGTTCAGGCAGCATCAGCTCCTACTTACAAGGCTGATATAATTGCTACCTGTGAACATCCAATCTTGGCAATGGAGGCTAATGCTAAACTCCCAGTATGACATTAGTCCTCAAGAAGACCAACTGGCTGCTTGGTTGTAAGTTGAACATGGTCCTCTTCTGCCCTGGAAAGATCAGTGTTCATTCTCAAATGTATAGATACATATTCAGTGTAAGAGTTTGCTTTTAATGCTTACCTCAGCAGCACCATTATTCAGGTGTTAATGAATAGCTTGATCTATCAGCATGGGATTGTTCACAATGTAGCATCCACACAGGAAATCCACTTCACAGTAGAGACAGTGTAAGTGAGATCCACAGGTTTTATCAAAAACCACACCACTCTGAAGCTCCCTGCCTGATGGTACATTGGATTGGCCTACTGACTACAAAGTTTAAGTGTTAGCATGGAGGCAATATCCTCAAAAGATTGAGCTCCAAATACCCACCTACTATTACTTCCAAAGGCCCATTTAAGGACTTTGTGCTTCCTATTTCTGCAGCTGGAATTTTCAAGGATAGAGGCCCAGTTCCCAAAGGCAGACTTGCTAAGGACCACATCAAGGGTCTCATTGAACTACAGCTATGGCTGCTGCCTGAGCACTTTGGGCTCCTTGTATTCAGGTACCAACAGACAAAAAGAAAGAGTTATCATCTATGCAAGAGGAGATGATCCTGATTAGTAGAAAGCTAATGGGTTACTGTTACACAATGAGGGAAGAGGGAGTACGTGAGAAGTTCAGTTGGTCTCCTTGGGTGGCTCTTGGAACCTCCCAACCAACTGTGGACATGACTTGTCAAATGCAGCAACTCTAGCAAGAAAAAGGTACAATTATCAGGATTCACACTTCTCAGGAATAAGGCTTGGGTAATACCACCAAGAAATCCACCATGACCACCAGAGGTGGTAACTAAGGGTGAGACAAATTTCTAATGGATAGTGAAGGAGGGAGATGGTGAGCATCAGCTGCAGCTCCAAGACCAAATGCAGTGACAGGGACTGTGTTTTATGCCACTGGCGTCGCCCTTTTATATTTCCCCTCAGGAATAGAGCTCTACCACAGCCATGGAGAATCTCTCTCCTGACAAGTTAACCCTGAAGATGCAACCAGTGGACTGTGACAGGTACAGATCTGCACTGGAACACACATCACATCACTTCACAAAAGGAATGGCTGTCTGGCTGACAAGTGAGGCCAGCTGACAGGGTTTCTCTGTTGGCTTCTTTGGGCTCTCCCTCAGCTTTCAAGCCAAGGTCAAGTTTTTCTCATGGCAGCCCCTGGTCAGTGACTAAACAAGGTGGTAGAATGGCTTTTTTCATTCACAGGTGCTCCTCTCTTAAAACTTTTTGTTCTTCTATCAGTGTCTCAGTGCCTGCTTCCTGGAGAATACAACTAGCAAATAGTCTCTCTATTCTTTCTTGGAATTTGTTGTTTCCACCTAAGATTATTTTCCTTCAGCCCAAAAAAAATCTGTTAGTATTTATTTCAGTGTAAATTTATCTGAATAGTGAACCCATTGGAAATTAATACTCAATTATTATATTGTTCAAAAGAAAAATAAAATGAAGAATAAGGGTGATAAAAGAGGGTTATTTTATATAAGCATTTTTTTTTTGAGAGAGGAGAGGGAGAGTGTGGGGGGAGGGGCAGAGGGCGATACAGAGGAAGAATGTTTTGTTTTTTTTTTAAGATTTTATTTATTTATTTGACAGAGAGAGTGAGAGAGCACAAACAAGGGGAACAGTAGAGGGAGAGGAAGAAGCAGGCTCCCTGCCAAGCAGGGAGCCCAAAGCGGGGCTCGATCCCAGGACTCTGGGATCATGACCTGAGCAGAAGGCAGACACTTAACCATCTGAGCCACCCAGGTACCCCCAGAGGAAAAATCTTAAGCAGATTCTACACTCAGCATGGAGCCTGACAGGGCCCTCGATCTCATGACCCTGAAATCATGACCTGAGCTGAAATCAAGAGTCGATACTTAACTGACCGAGCCACCCAGCACCCTTATTTTATATTTTGGAGGAAATTACAGGAAAGGAACTGACTTTGAAAACGCACAAAACTCATTCAGTCTGAACAGTGGAGAGGCTGAGTTGTTCTAGGAGGCAGGCCCCAGGTTCTTTTAAAATTTGGACAATGTGAATGAAAATATGTAAAAATACATTAATAATATTTTTTAAATGGCATTTTCTTAAAGATGTTATTGATTTATTTGGCAGAGAGAGAGAGAGAGAGAGCACAAGCAGGGGGAGCAGCAGGCAGAAGAAGAGGGAGAAGGAGGCTCCCCGCTGAGCAGAGAACCTGATGTTGGGCTCCATTCCAGGACGCTGGGATCATGAGCCGAGCCAAAGGCAGATGCTTAACCAACTCAGGCATCCAGGTGCCCCTTAAATAGCATTTAGATGAAAAGTTCCATAGGCTAAAAGTAGGTAGAAGAGATACTTGAAATCCCTGTCTCTTCATTCCCTTTTTCCAGATTCCCACATTGTCACCATCACTCCTGCTCCCTCTTCATATGGCCTGAGTCAACCTCTTCTTGTGACTCCATCTCAATTCAGTCTTTTGCCTTTAAATGTTTGTCTGGTTCCTTCCTATTTTTAGCCACTTCCCATTATGTGTTATTTTTCTTCCCTCCATTGGATGTGAGAAGTACTGTATAATACTAAGTGATAGATGGAAAATAAATTTGGAGAATGTAAATCAGTGGTGACAAGTAGAATCAATCATTAGAAGTATCCTTATAAAAAATAAAGCTATGTCACTTATCACTTGACATAGAAGAAAAGTGACAGAAAGAATTCCCGAGCAAAGCAGGAATAGATATACACAGAGTCATAGCCAGGGGGAAAAGAAGGGGCTTTCCTGGCCATAATAGGTTGAGGATTACTGACAAATTGTTCTGAAATTTCTGAGATAGGAATGATCATTGTACCCATTGCACCCGTAAGTAGAATAGGTACGAAGCTAGTCAACTGCAATGACAGAGAAGGTTAATGAATTACACAAATGCAGAAGAGGGTATGCAGATGATATGAGAGGACTCTACCTATACTGTGCTGTACCATCTGATGAGTATGTAAAATACCCAGTGCACAAAATCATCTTAAACTTCAGAATTTTCTCATTGTGACTAATCTGAACTCATATCTCCTGTCAACATGTCCCACAGCTACTGCTCTGGAAACTTATTTTCCCAGGCCCTTGGGGGAGGGAGGTCCTGAGCTACCTACCCAGGCTCTTCCTATGGCTCTTCTTACCCCAACAACCTAGTCTACAGCATTGACTGCTGCTCTCCCAGCACCTGCCAGCTGGGCTCCTCTCTCCACAGCGGCTGTCAGGAGACCTGATGTGAGCCCACCAGCTGCCAGGCATCCTGTGTGGTGTCCAGCCCCTGCCAGACATCTTGCTACTGCCCGAGGATCTCCATGATCTGCAGTCCCTGCAAATCAATTTATATCATATCTATGGGTCCAGCAGTGTCTTCTCTTTGGATTATGGATCTACTAGCTGCTACTCACTGGGTTGTGGATCCAGTGGTTTTAGACCCTTAGGTTATGGAGTCCGTGGCTTCTCTTTCCTGAGCTATGGATCCAGTTTCTGCCACCCAACTGACTTTGCTTCTGGTAGCCTCCAGCCATCTTGTTGCCAATCTACCTATGTATCTGGCTTCTGCTAATCAACTTGTTGAATTCTAGTACATTTATGCAAAGTCATCAAAATGTCTACCCAGAGTTCCATCATGCTCATTATTTCCAGTGACAACTATCTTAGTCTTTGATCACCAGTTCCTTACCCAATTTCTATCAAGCATACACTAACAGACTGATTTTTGCATCCTTTTAATTTAATGACTTAACTCATTATGGATGAAGTTCATGGTAATTTATTTTCTGCCCCAAATGGATAAAAAGTTAAATGATTATAATCCAATAAACTAATTTATTCTTATTGAACTATTTTTATGTTATTTTTTATATATTATTGAGCAGAGTATGTGT